TGCACCTGCCTAGTTATGGCACTGGGTGCTCATATATTATACAATTGACCTAAATTAGAAAATCGGAAAAAGGGGGAAGGGTTGATAGTCAAAGGACATCATGTTAGATCATTGGAATTCTAAAATGTCAGAGAAGAGGCAATAATAGAGTAAAATACAAGTGCAGGTTTCATAATTCCATCAACATCTCCTGATCAGAGTTGAAGAATGGTATCAAATAACTCTTCAAAATGTACCTTTCTTGCAACTCAAACCGGTCTCAGTTTTCACCTGGAAACAGGGGAGAGATCAATCAGGAAGTGAGACAAGGAAACTAGAACCAATCAAAAGGTGAGATTTGAGGGAGAAAACTATAAAATCTCAAGGTCAAGATGGAGATCTTCACCCATTGTTATGCGTGATAAATCCGTGTTACTTCTGCCTGGAACACTCCCGTCATTACTCAACTTTGACATCGCCACCCAACTTTGCCAAGCAAGCATCAAGACCAACCATCTCATTGTCATTGTCTCTGCCTGAGGTCATCATGAACCCTCAATATAAGGATCTAGATCTGATGTGCCAACCTCTTTACCTCATGTGGACTGTGTCAAATGAACTATTGAACAGCCTTTAGATGACAAACTGCCTATTGACATTAATGCAAGCAATTTCTATAATAAATGGTTTTTGTAAGGATGTGTAATCTCTGCCTCCAGCACCACCACCCACATACAAACAGTCCTAGGGTCTCCCTGATGTGGAATTAACTGATCCAGACAACTCACAAAGAAATACTGAGTGATCACATACTGATCAAATACTGAATGATCACTTTCTACACACTTCTATCATGTTCAATCATAGTTTCTTGTCTATTGTAGTTTCTTCTATACTTTTAATTGTGTAAAAAACCATTATTTTAAAACTTTGCAGAGACTAACCTCTAATAAAAGGTTGTCTCTACAAAGAACAACTGTTTTGTTTCTTGTAATTGGGCTTGATAGAAGTGTGAAGAATTAGTTTCTTCTATATTTTTAATTGTGAAAATGTACCCTCAGCCATTTTACTTGAAATTAAAAATAATAATAATATATCAAAAAATTATATCTAAGTTTATCATTCAATTATTAGAAAGAGATTACAATAGCAAATATCAATAATATATTGCGCAAGCTCACAAGAAAGGTACTTGAGCAGGGTTACAACCCGCTATGGTCCCAAGCGGTTATGCTCAAGAGCTGCAAGGATCGAAAAACGGTTTTTATATGGGAGTCTCTCCTCACTACCACCTCGGACACTTGCAACACCCCTACGCTCGAGCTGCCTAGTGTATGGGTCACACTGTATAAGTGTTTAAGCGAGTATTAGCAGTCTCTAGTATGCATGTAGCGTGAGCATGGCTCCGCGCATGCGCCAGCTCGCACTTCACGGAGCT